GGGGGGGGGGGAAGGGGAGTAATTTAGAACTTTTATTACTTAGGCTACTATTCCTAGCTAGCTAGCTAGCTTTTTATAATATATATACTTAATTATAGTAAGTATTTCTCTCTTTAAGGAAAAGGTATTTATTAGTACTTACTACCTAATCATTAGCCCAACTTGTCCCGAAGGACGTTTATAAACTACTTATTTCTACTACAAATACACCCCTTGATTCCAGGTTCGGTCCCCCTACCCCGAATATCGTAATCTGGCTTCATTCGAAATGTTCTATACAAATCTGTTGTTGCTAGGAATGTGGAAGGCCAGGGTGCCAGAAGAGTTGTATTCAGATGACTAGGGAGCTAAATAATGTGGGCAGGAGCCTGGCTTATATGGCCCAGGCATAGGTATGCCCCTCCTTTGTTGTACTCGTACACTCCTGTTCCATTCTATGCTGGTTGGTTCCGTGCGGTGGAAACCACGGGTCAGCATATTAGTTGATAATATCTGCGATACCGCTTTTTCCGGTGTTTCCATGCCTAAATCTATAACTCGCTTATTCTACTTAACGTAAACACTACCACTTTATCCACCGCTGTATATATATATAAGTTTATATCTATATATCTATTAAAAATCTCTTCTTTAAATCTTCTTCAAAGATATTATACACCCGATAGTAGAGTAATTATAGCTCTATTTAGTCTAGAATTACTCTATTTAGTATATACGCTACGTCTTTATAGAAGGACGTCTAGGTACCATAACGGAAAATTCCATCTAAACGGTATCTAAATTAAAAATAATTCAAATTTATATATGTTCGATAGAGGAATAGAGTTTTCGTAGGTTTTATAAATCCCGAGGTACGCTCCCTAAAATCGTAACTCTAATAAACTCGAGTCAAACAGGCCCTAAAGTTTAACACTTGTTATACCTAGACCTTGGGTCAGGACGAAGTATATCTAGTAATAAGGCCGGTTTGGGCTAAAGTTTCGGCTCTATTCAGATACCCAGGTAAAGACAAAACGTACTCCTACCTAGGTAATGCTTGCTTTATTACATTACCAGCAATATATAAACCTACTACCCGGTTATAAGAGCTTACCATTCTACCATATCCTACCTATCTCGCTAAACTACATATCTCCAAGCAACTCAAACTATCATTTATACCAGGACACAAAATGCGTCTCTCCATGATCCAGGTTATCCTAGCGGCGCTTACGCTTCTCAGTGCAGCGGAGGCGAAGACTTGCACGCCTGATGCGGCGTGTGGGGGTACAGCCTGTCCTGAGCTCCTTGTCCCGTTCTGGCAAGTGTTGAAGTGCCCAGGAATCAATTGGTTGATTAGGTCTTGCTGATGCTCACGGGATGTTTGTTGTTATCTTACAGTCATCGCGACACTCCTGGGGCGATTGGGGAATGTGCTTGTAAACATAAGAGTGCATAGCTGTTGCAGGCGGACGCACTGTGGTGGTCTTGATGATACCCGGTATGGTAACGTGGCATTTTGTAGGTGGGTAAGTACCGGGTTTGGAGTTAGTTCGGACGAATACTAATGGATGGTTATTGGGATAGTGGGATGTATGGATGTGTATTATAAGAGAGATGGAAAAGTTCTTTTTGGTGGTGTATATCTTCTGAAACGCATGCGAGTCAAATAGGCGCTTGTTCTGGTTCTAGGGACAGATTGAAATTGGAGGGTTGCGGAGAATACTGGGATGATTATGTGGATTTTTGGGAAGGGTTGAATCATTTGTGGATTTTTGAGAAAAGTGATTTATGCTGATGGAACAAAAAAGGAGTCTTTGCGATGCCAGTTTTCTTGGTTCACTAAGTGCTTGGATATGGGTTGATTAAGGTAGAATCGTAGGAATAAACTATGTCATAGGGCTGTGTTTGTATATCTATTGAAGAGATTGTTCTGTGGGATTGTAAGGCTAGGAATGTGAGTTGTCTCTATGGGGAGGGGAAATGGCTATACTACTGCCTTGTACATGCTATACTTGAAAGTAGACCAGAAATACCATGTAAAGTATAAAATATTATAGGAATGACTAATTGGTTTAAAATCAAAGGCCTCTTTAGCTACCATTTGGCTCCGTATATAGTAGCGTACATATTATGAGATTTACACATTAAGGACCCCAAGAACACCTGCATATATTCTTTTATTCATATGGCTTTCGTTCGAAGATTTAGAGAGAATTATACTACTATTTAGATATTCCTGCAAGTTCTCCACACCCGGTATAGTAGTATCCCTTCTCTAGTATTCCCATCATCCCCCACACCCTCGCTTACACCTTCGCGTTTCACCTGAAAATTAGCCGAGTTTCAATATTTATTAGTAGGACAGAAGGGACACTTAAAGGGGCACCAGTAGGAAAAGAGAAGAAGAGGGGGAAAGGGGGATACTTAGGGGACATACAAGGATAAATAATATAAAACGGGCCAAGGTGTTTTATCTTCTACAGATAGATTCTAGTAGTACAAATTCGAATATATAAGGAAATCTTTTCGTATGGTGCACGACATTAAGCCAAACAGGCCCTCAGTCGGCTATTATATTGAAACGTCTTAGGTCTTTAGATCACGTTTCTATTCTATAGCTTTTTAGAGAGTGGGAGTTCTGTTAGTTCTTCCGCCCCCGTATAGGCTGCCATGACCTTGCTTAGCGAGCAGATTATTGAGGAATTATGAATGGAGAATGGAATATGAAGCTATAGTCTGTCTTGTGAAGTATTTTCAGTGCGAGAGGTAAATGAACAATTAGACTGTAGGCCCTTTCAAAATACAGCAGAGAGCGCAGTATTTGTACCTTTGACAGGATATATTAGCCAAAACGTTTGGGGCGGAGTTAATGTGAGAATAACGAACGGCAACCAGAACCGATACAGCTTGGCAGTTAAAAACGACTATCCTTTTCAGACAATAAAGGGAGTATACAAAACGTGTATTCAAAGTGGAGTAAAAGCGCCTACTTTTACAACTTCCTCTCTGTAGAACAAAGTCATTCTGCCAACCAGAACAGTTTTTCAAGCATTTGACCCTCAATTTGACACAGTTTTACATCCACTTATATCCACTTTAAGTGCACGTTTCTTTTGCTCCTGTTATTATATGGAAGGGATACTGTGATATCACTAATAGTATATAATAGGTTTTTAGTCCTTGTACTGACAACAGAAGCTGAGTTTAGCGTGTGTCATCTTTGATCCAAAATATGCGTCTCGCTTAACTCCCAGTTGCTTAGTGGTCAGATCTTGGCGGGCCGATATCGCCGCAAAACAGAGGCTACCGAATCATTTTGACCCATACAATATCTATACGAAAATATTTCTATTACCCAGCTCATAGCAAGTGGGTCTATTAAGAATGGCCTGAACATAAACTCAATATAGTTATGCCAATCTCAGTTTAAGAGTCTCAGGGCTCTCTGACGATTTATGAGATATGAGTAAAATGTCGTCACGCGACTCTAGGAAACTGGATTGTAGTTATGCAACACTTGTTGACGTGGCAAAGGGTAATACAAAGATCTTGTTCTCTCCTAATAGGCTTTGATTACCTATTGCTCTTACCAACAGCTAATAGCACAAACTTCCCCTGGAAGCAGTTGCTTGAGATGAAACTCCGGCAACTAGTAATTAAGCCAGCCAAATCTCCTAGTCACAGTGTCAGATCTAGGTAATACAAAATAATTCACTTCCTCCCAAAACGTCACCGGCCACCGACACCGCGTCGCTTATCGCCCAGCCACCCACCAAAAACTCCGTCACAAGTCCCCACGTTTTATTCGAGTCAAGACTAAGAGTAATATAAGTAAGAGACAAATTAGATCCGTAGATATCCCCAAACCCCGAATTATCCACTGGCTTTGCAATCTACTCTTCCTCAATGCCTCAACCTCAAGCTCAAACTGTAACCAGTTTTCTTGAATGCCATAGCCATGGTTGATGAAGCCGTGGTTGATCGCGGTGATGGATCGGAGAAATCTCATTCGCGAACACGGAGCCGACCAAATTTGAGGATTGCTATCCCAGATCAAACGACGATTGAGCTGCAAAGACAAACTTCTGCCAACGGATCATCTGGGTTCACAACTACAACCTTCATGCCTTTTGTCGGGGTAGAAGAGCTATCTCATCATCGGCAGGAAGAAAAGGTCTGTACTTGCCCGGAGATCTCTCATGTCGATCAAGGGGAAGGCGCCATAGTGAATGATACCGAGGATGATATAAACGACATCTTCCATCTTTACACCAACCCAAACTCCACCTTTACCACACCTTCAACTGCTGGTTTCCTCCACCAGAACTTCCAACTCTTCCGGGACCTATCTCATTTATCTCAACTATCGGAACTTCAGGTTAACACATTCAACAATGGACACCAGCAACTAGAAGACACATCTTCTTCAAGCAATCAAGGAGAGATTCACACTGAAGGCGATAGGTTTGAGTATTCTCCAAGTCACCTTCAATCTCAGACCAAGACCTCACAAGATCTAAGAGGCAACAGCGAAGGCGACCTCACATCTAACCCTGCCAATTTATCTACCACAAATCTGCCATCTCAAAGCATCAACCAACCCACCTCTTTCCTTTCCAAATCAAAGATGTCGTACAACAACTCGCCCTCCCAAATGGAGGCTCACATCCAATTGCGCATTCAGCTTGCAATTGCTGAGAATAACCTCGCTCACAAGACCAAAGAGGCCGAAGACAATCAACGCTCCCTCGCGCTTGTAGCTCGAGCATTTTGCCAACAACAATATCCTCCCATCAATTACGCCAACAATCTCAACTTCAATCCCAGTCTCAACCAAAATTCTCCTCACCCAGCTATTGCTGGTTTTCAGCACCATGAAGCTGAAGGTCAATCATCCAAGAGAGCCGGTGAAGAATATGGAGGGAAAAGGATTGGCCAATTGGAACAAGAGATTGAGACTCTCAGACGGGAGAACCGGATTTTGAAGCTGAAGATCAGAGAGAAAGATGTTCAAGAGACTTCTTCTGATGAGGGAAGTGGGAAGATGGTACGATTTGATGAAAGCAATATCATCGGAGCTGCAAGTCAAGGATTCTCCAAACATGAGCAGAAGTCAGGCGAACAGGTTGCGGGAGAGGGTGAACATGGACAGAGTGCGAAAAACAAGTTCAACAGTCTTGATGAACTGACGCTTGTTTCTAACCCGAACTCACCAACAAGGGAAGAAATAAAACAACGAATGGAAATTGACAATGTTGGTATTAAATCTCTCGACGACTTGCTTGGTCCTGAGGATGACACGCCAAAGAAAGCCGAGAAAGCAGTTTTGCAAAATCTGGCTGCTGATGAAGGACTGGAGGCCACTGCTGCAGGTGTATCGGAGGAACACAAGAGAGCCATCGCACGATTCATGAACGTCCCTGAAACCAAAGTCCTCAAGACTGGCTTTGATGGCGCCGGTACACAAGGAGGACAGTACGAGAAAAATCTTGCGGATGAAGACAGTGATGGTCCTCAAAATAGAGGTCTTGGCTACCGCAATTTCGATCTTCCACCAATCAGAATTGAAATCAAGAGTCAAGGTGGTTATCAGGTTTTTGACTCTCTTGAAGAGAGAGGAGAAGCCATCAGAAACCAACGTGATTTGGTAGGACGTAGAGAGTCTGTTGCTCCTCTGTTCTTCGCCCATGGAGTCGCATATATCCCCGGTCAGGATGATAGCAACTATATCCGTACGGTACACATTGGCAATCTTCCACATGACATTCACCTCCGAGAACTATTAACAAGAGTTCGAGGTGGTGATGTGGTCTCAGCTATATTGCTAGACACCAAATCAATCACCGGCGGCTCTATGAGTGCTATGGTCCAGTTTTCTCATGAACTTGATGCAGAAGAATATGCACGATTTTCGGAAGAAACCTTCATCTATTTCGGTGAAGGTGCTGAGAAGAAGGCTGTCGAGGTGACCCTTTTGGAATCATCGCCTACATATCCCATGCGTGGCCACAGAGTCCAGAGTATCGATAATCACAAACCAACTCGTTGCCTGGCTGTCAACCAACTGCACCCTCGCCAATTTTCGCTTCGACGTTTGGAAGTAGCCATCGCTTGCGGCAATTTCCATCGTGCTGATTCTCTCTTGGATACTCACTTTGATGAGACCGGCACCCTGCACTTAGAGTTTTCTAATGTAGCTCTCGCAACGAGTGCAAGAGCCATTCTGAACAGCTGGATCGAGTTTCGAGGCGTGAAAGCTGATTTCGAGGACGATCCATGTGCGCGGCCCGTTCAAGACTTGCTACTTCCAGTAGAACCCAGAAAGCCATTGTGGCCCAAGGGTGGCTTCCTGGAAGGAGTGGAAGTGGAGAAGAGACCAGGACGTTTCGATGATCGGGATGAGGAGAAATGTTTTGATTATGGTGGGGATGTTCTTCAATCTGAGATAGCCCATGAGCAACGCAAGAGATTGGCAGCACTGTCGAACCAAAAGGTTGAGATCCCAACTTTTGGTGAGGGTAATTTAAAGTCCTCTTCTTGGGCTGATGAAGTCAATGAGGAGCTTTCTTCTTCGGAACAATCTTCGCCACAAGATGATGCTCAATTGATCGGTCCCGGAGCCAATACTACTCTGAAACACAGCATTCATGGAAAGAGCGGAGAACAAGATAAGCAGCTAAGACGTCGACCAGTGGGCCTTGAAGGAAGCAAGTTTGCACCACCTCAATACGAGAATCGATCACCAGCAAGCTCGTCCACCGCTTCAGGCTCGGTAGCTGAAGAGAGTGGCCAGAAGAATGAAGAGAGTAATGAAAACGTTGCAAAAGCACTCAACAAAACCTCCAATTCCGAATCCTCGTTTCAGCTTTCAGATGCGGCAAGATTGATGGCACAAGAGAGGGCAGATCGAATTAAGGGTCATGTCAGTGGCCAACAAGTCCGGGAAGAGTTCTCCGAAGTAGCTGAGGCTCCTGTAGATGAGATCAAAATGTCTGAATTGGCGCCTCAAATCAGCCTGGCAACTCGTGATACTCCAGAGGAAACTCAGGGAAAGATTGTGGTCGAGAAGGTGAATGGAAACTCGTTGGTTCGCAATCCCGATGAGTTGGAGTTGGATCTTGACTCCGATTCTGATTCCGCTTTTGAAACTGGCGATGAGAACGTCAACGTCAAAGATGCTGATCGTCCCGTGGCCAAAAACTTTACCCCAGACAGCCCAACACTCCCAGAGATTGTCGTTGAAGAAGTTGCCACACCTCCTATCGAGGCTTAGCGGTTCGTTAGCGGTGGCGATGATAATATACGTGATATGCCACGGACATGGATTTCAGCAGGCACTAGATCATGGATTTAATGGCGTTGATTATGATTAGCATTGGGGGAGAATATTAAGATACCAGATGATTAGCTTGTTATGAGGCGCGAAGGGGGGATTTGGCTGAAGCAGATTAATTACTACCAACACATCAAAAAGTATTAAGAAGAATAAAAGTATGCGTGCGTTGTCTTTTTTGCTTGCAAATTGGGTGAAGAATGAACGATGAGGTTTGACGATTACGCAGAAAAGGGGGCCCCAGGCGCTTAAAAGTACAATAGAGGCTTACAGAACTCTACTACATGAAGCCTCGATATGTAGACTTACAACAGAATGCCGGAATGTGCCAAGTGACCGGCCATCTTAAACCCACCACTTTCAGCAAACATGTCGTAGTCTTGCGGAAGCGATATATCCTTATTTAATCCCTCATGGCACCACGTCAATCTCTTATACAACCTAGCCTACATTTTATCTTCAAAATTGCTATTATAGTACTCACTTCTTATTGAGCTAATTATCGCTCTACTGCAGCTTGCTGGAATATTTGCTCATTTCCCCTCTTTCTACACAGTGCATTATTTCTAAATCCATAACTTTAGAGAAATAATCGTATCTTGATATTGCGAATTGCAACTTTCCTCTCTCTTTGTTACATCTAATATCCTCACCAGGGGTACACGCTTGCAGGGAATCATTCCACATGACATGTGAAAACTCTAGGAGAATTGAAGCAATTAATATTGGTTACACCTTTTGTAAGAGACCAGGTCAAGACTCTGTACACACTATTAAAATTATTACATTAAACTTCTAGCACAAATAATTCGACTCTTTTGGAATACTTAGGTTAAGAGAAAGTGAAGAGAATTAACTACTCTAAACCAGTAATACAACTAATTGAGTTGCGCGAGGCTTGTACGATAGTATTATTCTAAGCCGGTCATTGACCACATCTCTTAAAGATATTATTAATTGGAATGAAATTACTAATATTGGTTGGATCAGCCGATACCCAGATTTTATTTCTACTCACAAATGCCTATTTAGACGTGTTTTAGAGTCATTGTGTGTCATTAAGTATTGCTTATGAATGCAGAAACAATCCGAAAATACCTTTCCCCGTGCGACCTGAAACCTGTCCACTGTGTGAGGGCATGCCATATGCTAAACAATGTGCCTCCTCTCAGTTACCGAGAGGCGTGAAAGTCAGAATTACCGTGGATGAATTACCCAATTAAATTCAAGTGTAATACCCTTTGACACGTCCTAGATATTCGCAAGTCGCCCCATCTTCGTAGGACCATATTCCGCCATATAATCAACCATCTCTCTCCAATTTCTACTGTTGTATGGAGAATCATTATTCAGCAGATATGCGTGAGCGTTCAGCGCCCATGGGAGGACGTTCATCCAGCTGTCAGTTTCTGCTTTCATGCAGACCAAATTATGAAAATCGCCCATAAAAGGGACGAGTAACTCATCTTCCCCAGCAGTGACGGAATTGATGAAACCCATATATGCAACGAAGCATCTCGACCATATTGTAACATCTTCACCATATTTCCTATGCAAGTATTCGGGTGAACATAAAACACCATGCTTTACATATTCGAGTTGTGAATTCGGTGATTCGAGGTCCAGAACCATCAAATTGACTGGATTGAATGTTCTCGCTGAAATCTCTTCGACGCATTTGGTGTATTTTGGTACTTCGGAATTCAGAATAGGCGTACATTGGGGATGGTATGATGCCACAGACTGTGGTGTTGATAAAGCTTGACTGAGCTTTAGAAGAGCATGACGGGAAGAGAGCCTCAACGCTTCGAGACGTGCTTTTAAGTCTTTCTGGTTGCGATGGCGTGCGTGGGTACCCGTGTAGGGGTATTGCCGAGGTGCAACTGCTGATGGGCAGGGGGGAAGGCTAGGGTAACTATTAGATTGATTGCCACATTGAGTAATATACTCTCTCTATTCGCCCCCCTTGGGCTTGCGCTGCGCTGGTGGATTTCTCTATTAGCTCGTTGGTGCTAGTAAATGATACCGAAGTTAACTTACAGGATTTGCGGCACGGGCCGACTCGAAATCTGCTCTTCACTCTGGCGCTGGGGGAGACTTAGAAGTGCGAAATCCCTAGTCATACACGATGGAACTGGAGAGACTCTTCTCGCTGCGATATCGATGCCATGCTGAAATTCATCGTGATGGATATGAGAGAGAGAGAAGCCCGTGGGTTGATTCCAGGCGGGTCACGCTACAGCACCTATGACCATGATAAATGATAGTGAATTATAAATCTCCTTGCCCAATAAATATACGTCATTGACAAGACGAGAGATGCGAATAGTAACCGAGATCTTGTTCATTCATCAATGATTATTCTGTAGGTAGTATATCCAGTAAGTATCTAGAAATAGCCAATGGTTACTTTCATAATTCGCAGTCTCATTGGAATGGGCGATCGGAAAGAAAATACTTAATTCCTGAAAAAGACAATAAGTGCATAGTGAACAGTCGTGAGTTATTCCTGTAACCTATGAAATGGCAAAGATCACCACGAACTATAGGATTGAAAGGGGGGTAGTTACGTGGTGGGATGAGAAGTGAGCAGCCATGGCCGCCATACGAGCCATTCTCCAGTGGGTGTACATGAGAGCCGGCTCGACAACAGTAAAGTATCCCATGTTTGGTAAGTATCTGGTCATCCAGAGTGTCTATACTCTGTGCATCAGATTGGGGGTTTTCTGTAGGCATAGCTTGCTCAGTTTTTGCCATTGTTTTGATGGTTTCCTATTTTGGCAATACGTTCGCTTAAACTCTTGGCATTTGGGACTCGCACGCCCACGACACCTTAAGGAGTACGGAGTAGGTGAAGGTTATTGTATTCGCCACCCCTGGAGAAACATTTCACAACTTTTGGATTTATATTACTGAACACTTTTTCTTGACTCCGAAGTCACTGCCTACGAGCACTTTCAATTGCCTAGTGTCATGTGTAATTTTGGGTGGAAACGCTCTAAACAGCTTGAATTTGGTAGGTATGGAGCTCCTCATATATAGATAGGAGCTGGTATACCTCAGATGTTTTCCAAGAGAGCCTTATGAGCTACTCAAAGATGTGACATCTTGCGGAGACTCCGAAAACATTATTCTTGATGTGTATAAGCGGCAATAGCGGCAGAATTCCAAACCTACGTGCCCCCAAAACCTCAATACTTTGATAATCTGACTAGATAAGTGACGTGATAGCGACTACTTAGTTTAGTTGCTTGAGAGATCACAATATGCAGCATGGAAATCCATATTTAGAAATAAGAAAATATCATTTGGCTCTTCTACAACTCGATCTATAAGGAATGATTAGACGCAAGCGATATCGACCATGACAGCGTTAATGGAATCATAGGACAACTCTTCAACTCAATGCCCGTCAAAACGGAAAATGACCTTGATGGTCTTCTTATCCGCAAACTTTCTGTACGCCTTTGGACCATCCTCAATTCTGACCTCATCTGTGAAAACGAAACTGGGTTTTGCCTTCCCATTGTCGATGAGCTTTTTGAGCACATTCTGATATAGCTGAATTTTGGCTGGCCCTCCTCTGATGGACAAACTCTTTGTCAAGATTTGGCCAATTGGGAGAGGCACCACCCCCCTCTTCTCGTCCTCGGGTCGAGTCTCCTGTGAATGATTTTAATACCAGCATGGGGGAGAATCTTTAAAGAGATACTTACCAACATCATTCGTGGTCCACACCCCAACCAAACCAATTCCACCATCGACCCTTGTTACATTTACGGCTTGAGTAAGCACTAGGTTCTCGACATTTCGTCCAGTTGAATCAACGCATTCAAACCAACACAGTCCAAGGATCGGTCCACGCCGTTGGGTTCAAGTTTCATAATTTGAGAATCGGCAGGGCCTTTGCTAAAGTCAATAGGAATTGCACCAATGCTCTTTGCCATGTTGAGGCGTCCGTGCACCCTGTCCACGCTGTAAACTTTCGCAGCGCCTCTGAGAAAAGCCGAGTAAGCAGCGAGTAATCCGACCGGTCCTGCAAAAACAAAATTCAGCCAAGAAATGATTATAGTGAGAAGACTGTGAGTTACCTGCGCCAAACCACGACGATATCGCCAGCCACTTGTCCAGCTGACTCCAAGCCAAACCGAGCAGTTGGCCATATGTCAGCAAGAAGCAGGTAATCCAACTCATGCTGTCTACCAGATGGAACAACCAGAAGATTGTCGTCGGCAAATGGAACCCGCATAAACTCTGCTTGTCTACCGTCAACTTGCGGTACGTCGAGTCCGTAATCGCCACAACCAAACGATATTTGTAGTGCGGACCCTCCATTACTCTGAACAGAATGCTCTATGGCACAGACTACCACACGATCTCCCACTTTTACGGTGGAGACAGCGCTACCAATGGATTCAACGATGCCAATATTTTCATGTCCGAAGGTGAGGTGCTTGTCCATAGGGATTAGTCCATTGTATGTATGCAAATCCGTTCCACCTGGGGCATATCAGCTTGGAATTTCGGGCTTTAGGTGGCTGTCTATACATATCGCGCTGCTCGTGATACGAATAAGCGAGTCGAGGGGGTGTTCAATCTTTGGGATATCAACCTTCTCAACCGTGACAGAGAATTCCTTCTCTTCCCACTTGATTGCGCTCATCTTCTGCTTTAATTCGGCCATGCTGAAGTCGAGATGTGTTAAATAACAGTTTATCAAAGTGATTGAGCAGTTTCTTTCTTGTTTTGGTAATGAGTTTTGAGTATGCGATGTGTGTTGTTGAGTAGAGATGGGGGATTGCTTGTGTATTGATATACTAAGAACTCAAGCTGAGAAACAAACACATGATGGACAAAATTAGAATTGAAGAAGCCATCTTTTTCTGGGCGGAGCTCATCATCATCTGATGATCCGATGAATACGAATTTATTGGTGTTCTAGTCGTTGGAATTGGCCCGATTCCATAGAGACCGTCTCGCTCATGGTAACAGGACTTGAGAGCATTGAAACCAGTGCTTTTGCTAGGGAAAAGACTTTGTGGCACAATGATGTTGGTGTTGTTCTCTGAGTCAACTTCGTTTCTGCTTATCGTACACAGCCCGTGGTTCCTCGTGTTCGAGTTTTGACATAAGATTCGGGCCATAAGCAGACCAAATAGCCTTGGATTGAAGTCGTGATCACTAGACGTGACCATGTTTCTCTTGTTGGAGGTGCGGCTAACACTGTTGCAATTGAACTTGGTGGTATTTTTTGGGTATACTCAACTTTTTGACCAGAACTGCGCCTGCAAAAGTGCAAAGTCGTAATTCATCACGCGCTTTAGTAGATACCCACACACCATTCAACAGGCTGCCATTCAAGCAGTCAAACTTATCGACTTTCAACCTATATTGTGAGGTTCACAATAAGATCAGATGCACAAGGATCAACTACCCTTGGCAACTATGACGTTCCCTAAACACATAAAAAGGTACTTTCTGATCTCACCTTTCCCGGAAAGAAGATCCCCAGGTAGATTTGTATCAGTTTCGAGCCCACCCAGCCCCGATTTCTAAATTTGGTTCCTCAAACTGGTTATCACTTGCTAACCAGACCTATTTTTGACATTTGTTCCTTGCCTGAAGTGTCAAGATTTTCTGAAGCCTTATCTCCGATATATGATCTGCATGACACCTGCATCTCCCGATTTGGACGGCTGTATGCGTTTGTTGCAGTTCGTGAATATGCAGGCAAAGTTGGAATTTTCCAACAGCAGGAAATCTTGATATCTGGTTGGATGATTGGCACAACTAGGAGTTTTGTTGCACATCGTGATTTTAGGAGATCCTGCAGTCGAACGGATCTCATTTCTAGACCGCTTCTTGGGATTCTCTCTGGTTGGTCGCTGCAAAATCGTGACTTCTAAGGATTGTGACACCTCGTTTTTTCCAACTTTCGCCTGGTTGGTCAAGATTCAGACTTCAACTTTCTGTTGCACGTCGCGCTTTAAAGCTCGAATAGCCATCAAGCTCGTAGGTCACCGGCTCTTTCGAAATGCTAGTCACTCAGGGGTAATCATTGGGCTGTGCCTGAAAAAAGCGAGCCTCGCATTGTAATTGGGTCATGGGATCTTTTTCTTAAGTCCGATAGCCACTGAAACTGTGTTATTTTTCCAAGTCCCTCGAATAAGATGTGGTTATTTCAGGGTTCAGGTGGCCTCATCTGAAGTCGTCACAGTGCGACTTGCAACAAGAGAGAAGGTGGCGGGGAATTTGCCGCTAAGTGGTGGATAAATACGCCATATTGCTCCAGCTTCTTGAATCTTGATGTAACCTGCATCTCGTGATAAGTCACAATTTCTGTGAGCATGGGAAGACCACTCGTACTTATTAGTGATTCACAGCCTCTACGATTAGATAAAATATTACAAACACCTTTGATTCCCAAGTTTTGTCTCCAAGGCGAAAGTGGATTTCTCTACATCACATGTCATTCTCGACAGCTGATGCTGTTGGTTCACCGCTTCTCATCTAGACCAAATCCGTAAATGAAGATTGCATTTTGCGAAATGCAACGAATTTCCCGCCTTCTTCATCTGCCTGTTCCTACTGGTTGCCATCAAAAGGATGTATATTTGTTGCATTTCGCTCGAAGGAAGGTGCATGGTGGGTACTTCCACCAGAATGTGCATTTGATACTCTGATTGGTCACATGTGTGCGGGGAAATGTTTTTGTTCAACATAGAAACCAAGGATCAAAATTTTGATCACTACTTGGTTTCTATGGTGTTTCTTCTAGATCAAACCTCCAGTAACCTTGAACTAGTATGTACCTAAATCGACTTGCAGCTCTTGGGAATGACTAGAATCACGTCTGTCCATCGAGTTCAATTTGGTGGCTAAGCCAAGCTTGTTTATAACGGGAAACAAAGGGAAGTATCTGGCCTGCTCAAGGGCTAAAACTTGTGATTTCAGATAACTCTCACCACTATGTTATTCTCTTTTTTCATATTTCTTTTGTCTCTGGGTTTACAAGTGAAAAAGCTAAATAATCCCACCAGGAGGGATACCATTTAGACGCTTTGAGCGACTACCCCGAAATTATATATACTGACTAATCTAACGTACCCGTTTGTTTGGTTTTCCTAAAAAGGGCATTTATAAATGTCTAGCTGCTCTTTAATTAACTCCACAGTAGAAGACTTGTAATAAGCTTATTGGAATATTTCAATTCAATACACAAAGATTAAAGATTCCCCCTGTCTAACAGGCTACCTGTAGAAAATAATCAGATAAACAGAGCCTTGGTAAACACCGTTGAAGTTACATTACTAGCATGGCTGCGAGGCAGCAGAAACTTCCTAGCAATAGAAACGAAACTCTAGAAGCCTGAGTAAACTTCGTTCCTGTCTCAGCACAATGTAAAGCTTTCCAAGACCTCATACAGATTCCACAGAATCTACACGTCTCGTAACAGCCCACGAACCCCTGACTGTAGAGAACCCAAACCTCCTGATAGACACAAACCAATCCTTGGTGTCTTCCTCCCTCACAACGTTGAACTTGAGGGGACTGTGCTTCCATTCTTCGTACAGTTCATCATATTTTTCAGAGGTCATTTGGGGATCAGGTGGTGGACTATCCTCCATTAAGATCCGCGAGCCTCTGCAAGAATTCCACCCTAGAGACCAGCCGTCATACGTTAAACAGGGCTCTGAGCTGTAGAGAAATCTTACGATATCAACAGCGCCTTGTTCAAGCAACTTACACATATCGTCTGGAATGTGACTACAGTACCAGTCAGTATCTTCAGTACAATAAAAAGAGACCTCTCGGAGGTTTGGTAGGTTTTCTTTCATGGCTTTTGCACATGGCGTGAATTATGTGTTGCGGTCCTTAGACCAGACGTCTCGAACGTCGTACTCATCACCCATTGTCATTTTTTTTGTGATAACCACAGACTGGACACAGGCTGCGATTTCCTTGGGGAGTGTATTGAGAAATCCAATGGCGTATGCAGAGTTGAATACAAACAACCCTTGGCGACATAGAGCGGAAAAGCTCTCGATATTTTCTTCTAAAGAACGCGATTTGTCGAGCATGAAGGAGTGACGCAATCTCGTGTCAAAGATTCCATGAAGTGTGTCGGCCGCGAGCAGATTTTGAAGGATGTTCATACCACGAAGGAAACCTGCCTGTTTGTGCAGGGGTAACGAGACATCAGCAATTCCGACCGTTTCTTTACACAAGATCTCTTCATCGATAAATTCATCATCATCGAATTGTTCCCAATATGAATGATCGTCTATTGGCGCCAAAAAATAAGAAAGGGTGGCGGTGACGAAGCCAGGATGACTTTCGAAGTCCCCTTCCACATCAGAATCATCATCATCATCATCATCAGAATCGTCATCTTCATCAGTCCAATTCTCGGAATCGTCGTCTAAATCGACTTGGTCCTCAATTTTGCTCTCATCAACTTCATTGCGTTCTTTCGGATATTTGCCCTGACCAGACTTTTTGTCTCGAATTTTGAAGATTGGACGATATTTCTCAAGGATGGAGCTGTAAGAATTACATCAGCGCGGTGAGTCAAAGATCGATATGGAGCAGATGCATACCGATACTGTTCAGTTATGTCGAGTGCGTTCGTCATTGTTGCGAAAGCAGAGGCTCAGAGCAGCGTATTGTGAGTACAAAGGGTATTTACGTGGAGGCTGTCCGCAAATATTTGCGCGTGTGTAATAAGAAAATGAGCGGTAGGATAAATGAGAAGATTAGTGCGAAAACACCTGACTTCGCGTGCTCAAAAGTGGTGCTACTCTTATATTATTGGACAAGAATTTACTATACCGACCGGGAACCCCTTGATACTAGGATACTAGTAGGATACATATCCTTAAGAACATAGCCAAGGTTATCCCTGTATCGCCTATTCTAGATGGAGTGTTTCTAGCTTCCGACAGACAAAAAATTGCAGATATGTCTTTTCCATTGGCGTAAGTTAATTCTAATTATTTAAGTATTATATTCAGTTATTTAGAATAACAAAGTTAACCAAGTATAAATCGCGGAATGATTTTAGTAACTCTCTGACATATCTGCAATGTATTTATAGTATTTGCTTACGCTAATGAACAAACAGAAATGACTCTCTTCCGTTATTCTTGTTTATTGAAGTCTAGTAATCGCTCTAATTATATCACTTAATTCCATAATGTCTCGCAAAGCCCTTGGTACTTTTATCCGACCTGGAGTTTTATACTTGATATAGCTCTTTTTATCTTGTCTTTACAGCCTTTCGTACTCTTACTCTTATAAGCTATTTTTTAGAGCGCTAAACGATTAAATACGTACGGGCAGACACTCATTTGAACATGCTAACGGGACTACTGAACTTCTGTTTTTTGGGCGTTCCTGGTTGCTTAAATAACCTAACTTAAGTGAGAATACTTCTTGAGTAGTCTATATGCCTCGCACGAAGGAGGAAACGTGGGTGATCATTACATTGAATGAGATTGATTATTTCTTCATGTGCGGATAAACGAACCGTCTATCTTCGAGCTACCATAAAAAGAATTATTAATTCACTTACAGGTACAGTGCTAATATGTCTGGCAAGTGGGCGAAAGAAAACGATAGGCTTCTGCAAGTCTTCTTTTCTTCCTCGGCATGCCATCAGCATCAGCATCACCCTCGTTATCTAAAGAAGGACTTGCGGATTTCTTGCCATTATCCAGAACAAGTGTAGTAGACTTTTCTGAACTAATGTGTTTCTTCAGGATAAAATGTACTACGTCGTGCGACAACCTAAACCTTATAATCAAATCTCACTTATCCCTAACGACCTCCTCCCTTTATAAAACAATCTAAGGCGGAGTCGTCTACTGCCAAATACCATTCAGCCTAAAGTTTTCCCAAGCTGACAGACTAAAATCCTATTTCTGGTGTTCCTGAGGAGCGGACCAATAAAAAAGTGATTCTGTAAAGAAAACCCATCTTGCATACTTTCATTTTTGTCCATAAGAACTAGCGCAAAGTCATCGTGCCATCGTTGAGCATTTTGGATATTCCTTGGGGTGTCGCCGGGATACCCAGTGGGAGCAGAAAAGTCGATACCTTATCTACTCCCGGCCGATACCTTATATACACCCAGTCGATACTATATCGATAACCTAAAAAAAAAGGTTATCTATAATTTTTACTTACCCTGCTAGTGGGTAGGAGCGGGTATAGATAAAGTATCTATAACCGGTTATAAATAAGGTATTAACAATTATTGATAAGGTATCTATAACCGATTATATAAGGGGAAGTTTTCTTTTAAAAAATAATTTTCTTATAAAAGGGTCTATTTATCCCTATAGCGTTCTCTATTTATCCCTATAGCGTTCTCTATAAGACCTTTTTTTATTAAGTATAGGATAAGTTTTCTTGATTTTGCTAAGTACTTTTATTAATCCCTTAATTTCGCTAAGTACTTTTACTAGTCTTAGGAATAGACTTTTATTATAGTTTTAAGTACGTAGATCCTACTACGTATATACTTCCGAGTACTACCGAGTACTACCTATATATTACTACCCTTCCCCCGCCCTCTCTTTGCCTACCTATCGTTCCTACTATCCCTACCTAAAAGTATACTTAGTCGTTTTTTATCCCCCCTCTGTAACGAATACTCAAACTGGCTAACTAAACTTGGCTGGGTGTTCGCTGGTTGGTATGCTATGATAAGAAGAAGACTATCGGGTTGTTCACTTGGAAGTGAACTCGTTACTTGTATCAAAGATGTCAAACT